GTGTAAATTATTAAAAATTGGGTGGACTGAGCCTTAGCATACTGTATTGCAGTGTAAATATATTAGAAAATTGGTGAACTTTGGAAAATTTTAGTGTACTTTATTCATGTCAGTTTAGTAGGTTGGAGGTTTTCGTCTGACGCTACAGTTAAAAAAAATATAACTCAGTAGGTACTCACTGCAGTGAGTGACAGAGAGCGCATTTTCTCAGAATCGACGAAAACATGAAGTCACGGACAGACGGACGGACGAACATGACGAGCACAATAGGGCATTTTGTCCATATATGAGAAAGTGTGCTAAAAATGCGGTTAATCCTGTTAAAGTTAGCAAAACTCCTTGCAACTTGGAAGCTACACTAATGCACAATCGTATTTTCCAGTTTATATTAATTGAATGGTTAATGTGTTTTACTGAAACCTGTGCAATTTCACCGTAGATGCGTTGATCCACGGCCTCACACCGTACAGCGAAGAAGTCGTCGTTACTGGCGTGGTTTCCACTCCAGGATACCCCACACCGATGCAACAAGGTTAGTTGTTCGCCTCAATTTTTAATGTAGAAAACATGTATAATAGAATGTCGTTCTGGAAATCCCCTACACATTAGATCATTTTTATTTGTCGCAATTTTTATGGATCAAAATTTTCTAGAAATAAAGATATATTATCTTGAAAAATTATCTACGTATGAAAAAAATCCAATTAATAAATTCTCTAATGTTACTGATGTAAAATCACTCGTTTGTCGAAACCGTATTTACGATGCTGAGCGAGTCCATTTCCGATGAAAAGCAAACAAACGCGCTGCTTTACGGCTAAAAGTGAAAAAATAAATTGTGACATTTTTGTCTCGGGTGTTCTCTGTTTCTGTAGCACATGCCTGCAACTGTACAGTTCACAAATTTCGTGTGTTCGTGTTCTTAATTATTTCTCAATATGAGAATTAACTAAGAATATTTCATGTGTTCATATTTCTTAGTTAATTATGAATATGACGGTCATTCACAAGACCATACATACTCATTAGTGTTCACTGATTCTCGTTACCCTCCGAGTTGCGTTTGCTACAATTAAAAGTAAAATTTTCAATGTCGAATTACCAAATTTTCGTCGGGTTCTTGGTTGTTTGCAGTTGCGACAAGTAGAATATGAAGCTGGGACCGTGATATTAAAAATATTTAAAATTTCGTAACTCAGTCAGCCAATCACTGACGTCTACCGAGCTTAACCCACCAATTCTCTATGTACATGTAGCGGCCGCTACATGTACATGGGCCGCTACACCCAATTATGCTGTCCTACGTGGACTTAGGCCGCCACGTGTAGTTCACCGCTACGTGTACTTAGGCCGCCACGTATAGGTCACCACTACGTGTACTTAGGCCGCCACGTATAGGTCTCCGCTACGTGTACTTAGGCCGCCACGTATGGGTCTCCGCTACGTGTACTTAGGCCGCCACGTATAGGTCACCGCTACGTGGACTTAGGCCGCCACGTGTAGTTCACCGATACGTGTACTTAGGCCGCTACGTGTACTTAGGCCGCCACGTGTACTTGCCGCTACGTGTACTTAGGCCGCCACGTATATTTCACCAGTACGTGTACTTAGGCCGCTACGTGTAGGTACTGGAACGAGTTTAGACTATACAACCCCTGGTCCCCAAGCTGTGCATCGCCCGCAGGCACGCGGTTCATTAAGCTGCTCCGCGCCCCTGAGTGTCACCGGGTGAGGCTTGTGGTCGAGAAGCTGGACGTATACCAGCGCATCGACGGCCGCTGTCTCGTAGACGCGCTCGCCATTCGCACGTCCGGGCGTTTGGATCAGGGCGAGATGTGAGACATTTTTATGCCATGTGCTTGTTGTTTATTTATTTATATATAATGAATTAATGAGTAATTTGTTCTGTATATTTTATACATGTGAGTCACTTTTTGCCATGGGATTGTTGTCTATTTATTTATTTATATGTAGTGAATTATTGAGTAATTTATTCTATACATTATTTTATACATGTGCCTAACTTTTTACGATGGGATGGTTTTCTATTTGTTCATTCATATATAATAAATTAATGAGTAATTTGTTTTATATATTATTTTATACATATATGATTCACTTTTTATGATGGGATTGTTGTCTATTTATTCATTCATATATAATGACTTAATTAGTAATTTATTCTATAGATTATTTTATAAATTTAGTCGCTTTTTATGCTGTAATTGTTGTCTATTTATCCATTCATATATAATGAATTAATAAATAGCTTATTCTATAAATTATTTTACACATGTGAGTCACTTTTTATGGTGTGATTGCTGTATATTAATTGAATCCCATAAAATGAATCATGAGGAATATATTCAATCACTCATAGTTATTAATTCTAGAAAGTATTTATTAAATTATTTATTAATTATTTATTCGATAGACGTGAGTAATTTTTTACGATGTGCTCCTTTTCAATTTATATAATCCCATGCAATTGATTATGAGATATTTACTCTACAAGTTACTCATGAAGGAATTTGTATTATACTTATAATCAATTACTCATTATGTAATTTATTAAATTACCCATTGTAATTTATTCTATAAATTCCTCTCTTAGTTATATAAATGTCATTGGTAATTTAAAATTTACGGCCTTGTTACGTCGGTGACACCAAACCTATTTTTATCGATTCGTTCAATTTTCATTGTCTTGTTACAAATGTAACGATGAAATCAATAATGAATTCATCTCGCAAAGATTTCTTTTGATCGCGTAGATAATTTTCCAAACGTAAATTTGTCTTACAATTTCAAGGCAAATTCGTTATTACCCGATTTTGTCGATTATTACGACAATGATCACAATCAATTGTACCTAATCCACAATCAACAATTATTTTATTTGCTTACTGTATAAAATGACATATTTAATATGTTCCCAGTTTTTGCGGCCAAGAAATAAGTTCGGGGAGAGAATTTCTCAGCGACAACACGACTCTGATTCTGGATTACGTCGGCTACGATTACGCCAGCAGCGGCATCGTTAACAAACGCCCGGGCTTTATTGCTACCGTAGCGCATGTCAGAGATCCTGCGTGGTAAGTAGGTAGTCTATGCAACATTGGCTGATCAAATGCCTTTAGGCTGGTCTGTACGTAAATGCGTATCTATCATATAACGTCAGCTGATAAAATTGTTTCTTCTGATGATCTATAGGTACGTAAATGCGTATATATCATATAACATCATCTGTAAAAATTGTATCTTCTGCTGGTCTATACGTAAATGCATATCTATAATAAAACATCAGCTGATAAATTTATTTCTTCTGTTGATCTATGCGTAAATGTGTATCTATTATATAACATCAGCTGATGAAATTGTATTTTCGGCTGATCTATACGCAAATGCGTAGCTATCAAATAACATCAGCTGATAAAATTGTTTCTTGTGCTGATCAATACGCAAATGCGTAACTACCTGATAGCATCTCATTTTATAGAAATTACCTACGTGTTTTCTGATTTATACGTACGTTATTACGTATTTATGTGATATCATCAGCTATGAAGAATCAGCCTTCTGATCCGTACGTAAATACGAAACTATCTGATGAAATCAGCGTCTAAATATGTATATTGTTGAAAACATCAGGAGTCTAATATATTTATTTCTCTGTAATCTACGGCGCACATGCTATTGTATGGATCCTAAATTCAAAGCAGGTTACTCAATGCTCGATAAAGATACAATGATTTGGATACTAATTTTTGTAGGTAACGTAGTGGAGTTAAAATGAAGTTTTAATTCAAATTCTTTTGCGTCAAAATAGAAGAATACATTGTATTTTTTGAACAATTTTGATGAAAAAATTCGGCTGCGAAATAGGTAGATGGCAGGCCGCCTGCAGGCGAGATAAACTGCAGGTATATCTCAAACACTTGAGTATCTATTTCGTCCATAGTTGTTGATGTTGTATGTTGTTCTTACGCAAGGTAATCATAAATTGGTCTCAGATTTTTCATTAGGTCATGTTGGGCTGTGGCCGATCCTAAATTACCAGACCACTTTGCCGATTTTTACCAGAATTTTCCCAACTAATTTCGGGTTTCGAACCCTCCACTCACTGCTTTTACCATTCATCAATATTTTTGCAGCGGCGTGCAAGAGAACATTAGCGTGGTGAGCTCGTCACCAAAACAAAACTTTAGCGCCGACATCATGGCTGGGAATTGTAGTGTCGAGCTAACGAATTCAGCGAATATTTTCAATGTTCGCTCCCCCGGCTACCCTGCACCATACCAGGGACCAGTGGCCTGCTCTCTTAAACTGCACACCGTGAGTTACGTACGCTGTGTTCAATTAACATGAAATAAACCCGTTCAATGATAGAAATGTTAACCTGCCAGTATATAAAAGCTACGGTTATTTTCTAGATTACATGATATTATTACCATTGTTAGCACCAATTAATTCCCCTCTAATACAACCATCATAAATAAAAAGCATTATTTTCTAGGTTGCTGATTTTCTAGGTTGCTGATACTCTTTTATTCCAGTAGAAAACAATACCTACATCAATGGGTGGACTCGCATTAATATGAAAAATTACGTAAATTTTGTAATTGTGATGAGTATATTTTTGGCTGTAATTATATATCTGCCGATTATTTAAATCATGAACTTTTCTGGACATGCCACTTTAACCCAAACAATAAATTTTGCCAAGTATTAATCTCCGTTATTCACATCAATTACTTAATCTTTAGGAAATTTTATTAATCTATTATGGAATCAATTATAATTTCTTCAATAAATTTACATTTGTTTGTTCTGTTATCCCGCAGATGGAACCAAGCTATTTGAAAGTGAAAGCCACTGAAGCCAATTTCAGTAAACGTGACAGGCTGATCTTCACTCTGCCCGGGGGTTCCAATTACAGGTACAGGTTAACTAATCGTTATATCTTTCGTGATAGAAATGTAGTATGAAGTGAAAATGTTAGTTAATGAAGTGAAAATGTTATTATACCAGTCATAATTGTAATAAAAAATATTTTCTTAATCAACAGTTGAAAGTAAAGAACAATTTCAGTATTCTGGGAATAGTATTAAGATTTTTGTGGTCAGTAAATAGTTAGTGTGACTTGATAAAATTATGAATGTAGAGTATTTTGTTAGCTTCGAGCCTTCATTTGATGCCATCATTCGCTCTTAACTATCATCAACCTCGTCCGCTGATATTCGTATCAGTTTGTGCAAACATTTCAGCGTATCTTCGTAGGTTATATACATAAAGCTACTTATTCATTGTCAAAATTGTGAATAATGTAATATAAAATACCGATTTATAAAATGCTTGACGTTCTTTCCATCGTAACTGTGTTATTATATACACTAAGCATACCTGGTGAAATGTTTTCCTGCTTCAATGCAGCATTAGCTCAATTAAATTTTCATACAGCTCACGTTTAAATCGAAGTTGTGTAGAAACTTCTCAACAAACTTTTTTTCTATCTTAATCATGTGTACCGGCTTCCGGTAAGAAGCTCTTATGAAACTTAGATTTTCTTACCAATATACCTTATTTCGTTAAGAACATCTCAGGAAACTTAGATTTTCTTACTAAAATTCCTTCTTTCGTTTAGAACATCTGGGAAAACTTATATTTTCTTACCAATATTCCTTCTTTCGTTAAGAACATCTCAGGAAACTTAAATTTTCTTACCAATATACCAACTTTCGTTGAGAACATCTTTGGGAACTTAGTTTTTCTTACCAATATTCCTTCTTTCGTTAGGAACATCTCAGGGAACTTAGATTTTCTTACCATTATTCTTTCTTTCGTTGAGAACATCTCAGGAAACTTGGATTTTCTTACCAATGTTCCTTCTTTCGTTAAGAACATCTGAGGGAACTTAGTTTTTCTTACTAATGTACGTTGTCACGGTAAGATCGGTTTTTCTTTTGCCCTAAAGCGTACGTTCTCCCGACAGAATATCAAGCGCCGATAAAAACGTCGTTCGATCGCTAATTTCAGCGAACTCGGACGTGTCATTCCGGACAATGTCCAAGTCGTCCGGGGTGTTCTCCGTAGAAGTGGAAGCCATTGCTTCTAATTGCCACAAAGTAAGGCTCTTTCACATAAGAGACATTGATTATTGAATCGAGAAATTTCTTCCCTAATTGATAAGTTTTTAGCAATTATGATTAATTCACTAACAACAATAATTCGTGTCGAATTTGTTGTTGTGCAGCGGTGCAGGTAACCTTGTTTATTTCTTTAAAATCAGATATGATTGTTACAAAAATAAATTATGATCTCATATGTTTATATGAGATAAAATGTGATCACACTCTGACATAACCGTCCAGGGACCATACCATCACTGACGGCTTTTCAAAATAACTCCATCAATCACTGACGAGAAATCGACCGCTACGTGAACTTAGGCCGCTAGGTGCACTTGTGCCGCTACTTGTACTACGGCCGCTACATGTACTACGGCCGCTACATGTACTACGGCTGCTACATGAACTGTCGCTACATGTACTACGGCCGCTACATGTACTACGGCCGCTACATGAACTGTCGCTACATGTACTACGGCCGCTACATGTACNAAAGAATAGTCCACAAAAATTCATATCTTTATAGAAAACGTTTTCTATAAAGATATGAATTTTTGTGGACTATTCTTTGCTTTTAAATTTTTAGACTTCTTCATGTTACATTGCATTTTTATGATAAAAAAAACATTAAATGTGACTACCTACACTTCTAGAATAGTGACGACAAATTTTTTTTCTGAAATATATGTATGGTAGGTAGTTGTTTCCGCGTAATCTTCCTACTGAATAGTAAAATGGAAATAATTATTTTCATAAACCATAAACCAGCTTTTGATTGACTTCGCAATGAGTTTTGGTTGAAATAATATAATTCTATAATAAGGACCCGTAGGGAAAGTAAAGCTGTGAAAAATCACTTACATCCGTTAATGCTATCCTCTATGATTCCTTATTTGGGATTTTTTTTTTTCGGATACGATTTCCATGTTCATTTCGACATGAAGCATTGGTCCAAGTCGTGTGAAAATAGTTAATGTATTGATATGAATGTAAACTGTAATGTTAAGACTGTCCTGTGCTGCAAAACTTCTGTCTATATTCCCATGTATAGGCCCCAGCTGGTAAAAAAATTAAGTTAAACATGACGAAAAGTTTCACGGTGGGCTTGAACCGCAACTGCCGGCATGACAAACTCCTAGTCAACGTTGCAGGAGACATCAGGTATATTGTCTATAATATTCATGGTGTATCTCGCAACACATTAGTTGTGACACTGCCTTGTATCGATATCATTATAATCAATATTATGCACCCTGGTGTCGCTCGTAACGTATTTGTTATGACATTGCATTATATAACCGTAAAATGTCCTTATTTTAAATTTTCACACTTCTGTATCTTTTTCACCTTTAATGATTATTTATTTGTACGAATAATAGATTTGGATAGTTTAATAGCATTTTTAAACATTGCAGGTATAGAGCGGCGTCGACAGTGCGCTATTGCTCTTCCAACGGCCCTACGAGCCTCGTATCCACGGGCACTCAACTGAACGTCCTCTTTGACGGGCAGAGGGGCGGAACGGCCGGTTTCATAGCCCAATATTCTATAGTTTAATTTATTGCCCAAAAGTTTAGAATACCACTAAAAACAATAGCGCCTTTTTTCCATAAATGAGAAAAGGCGCTAAAAATAATCTTTCTTCCAGACAAAACTGGAAAATGTTTTTTTTTTTTTTTTTTGTTTGCCTCGAAATGTGAATTTGTGTCCACTTACGGTATTGTCTGGAATTAAGTTTTTTAGATTTTGTGAAGGAATTAGCTTCTTAAAATTGAAAAAGCTGCTGATTTCATGATATGGTATAATGCTTTACCTGAAAATACGTTTTCTCAATTTGTTTGTTTTTAAATTATATTGTTGTTATCCGTTACCTTCTTAATCCTATATTCCAATACATAATTTAGATAATAATATTTATTTACAGTATTATTTGTAATTTTCGAATTTACACTCTATTTATATCATTATTCTATGTCTTTATTAATTGAATTAGAACGAGTTATTGGCTTCAATGGAGTTACCATATGTATTCCAATTTATTTCAATGTTCTTGTAGTTATATCAAATTCTAACAATTATAAATAATTTGAATCTGATCACTAATAAGTTCATAATTTTCCTCAAATACATCACCGGAAATTTATTGCATGCTAACTATTCACTGTTGGCATCTCTGTCAAATATTTAATAAACCGATGATTTTCGTCTTTTTCCCCCGAGTACAACGTTCGCTTTTTTGTTATCCTTCAGTAACGTTGACTTCAGTGTTGACATTCGAAAAAGTTCAGAAAGACTAATGATGGGAAGTATAATGTATAAGCTAATTAATTTGCATTTATTAACGAGTTGAATTTGCAATTATTTGAACGTTCAAAATCTGCGACTTTTCTCGAGCTTTCTAACATAATAATTATTAAAAACTACTTTACCTGTGGTTGGTGAATTAATTTCCAATATAAACAGTTTAAATGTTTCCAATTAAATAAAAATTTATCAATTTATTAATTGTGTTTTATTTGCGATTTTTCAACCTGTAAATAAGATGAAAACTTCAAGTAAATCTTTGTTGTCGTCGCATCTGCTCCTCATGCGTACACTATATATAGAGGATGGTGTGACTCGTTCCGACTAACATATTCATCGTTACTTTTCTGTCACTGAAGTGACGGGTAAAAAAGTCAAATACCTACAGAAATCTATTTGATACCGATTTAATTTGAAAACTATTTAATGCGGCACTGAAGAAGAGTAACAACTCTTCTTCTAAAAACTAGTAGAATAGCGCGTTTTAATTAATTGCCATTTTTGCTCCTACGACATGCATTCTTCCTATCTCCGAGAACTGTCCAGCAACTGAATTACGGTTTGAAGTATAAAAAAAAAGTAAACAAAATTTACTATACATTATGAAAGAATTACTTCAGCAATACTTTTCTACGCGAAATTGAGACGCTGGGTAGGATGGCCCAGTGGTTAAAGTTGAAAAAGAGGGCCGGGCGGGCAAAGCAGAATTGTAGCAGTGTGTTGCGAGTTCGAGACTGCAAAATGCTGTGAATGTTTTGCGATGTTAAGGATCTGCGACAGGCCTACGGCCTACTAAAAGCTGAAACAGCTATTACTATTATTATTACTATCATTACGCTTAATCCTCATTGTGTAAAGAGTGTGCAATTTTAAACAATTACCAACTAGTATTTTTGTTGTCCAAAGAAAGTAGAACTTCATATCATCTGATGCTTCTATTGCGAACAATATTCAAATAATTATTCTCTGTGACCTCATAACAACTACTTTCTTGTAAGAATAAATCTATTACACGGCACGTACGCGAAATTTGTATTCCCGTTTCTACACAATGAAATTAAACCTTTACTATATCATAGCAAATTTGCGTGTTTACTCCACATTAATACTTCCAATTAATACTTCTATCATCCTTCTAATTCGAACAGAAGACAAAATTATCCAATGTCAGCTCACGCCATTTTTGGTTACTTGTTCGAATTTTGACATGCTGGAATACTGAAACCATTATCAGTAATGATATGCTGAAATACTAAAGCCACCTATCAGTTATGACATGCTGGAATATCGAAGTCACTTATCAGTTATGACATGCTGAAATACTTAAGCCACTTATCAGTCATGACATGCTGGAATATCGAAGTCACTTATCAGTTATGACATGCTGAAATACTTAAGCCACCTATCAATAATTATGACATGCTGGAATACTAAAGCCACTTATCAATAATGACATGCTGCAATACTAAAGCCACTTATCAATAATGACAAGCTGGAATACTAAAGCCACTTATCAGTAATTACAAGCTGGAATGCTAAAGCCACTTATCAGTTATGTCATGCTGGAGAACTGGATCACCCTATCAGCCATTACATCAACATGTTCTTTCAACAGTTTACCACACGAGATAGCAACCATGGATACGCGCGCATTTAGACTGTCCAAGGCAGGAGCCACCAGCAGCGCCTCAGTCTTGTCGAGCCTTGCGCGCTCTCAGGTCAGTTCTTAGTTTGTTCCACGTATTAAATATTGGCTTATTCTATGGAACTGAGCAACAATAACGTTCACCAAGGCTTTTTAAGTTCATGTGAACTGAAAAAAAGTCATGTGAATTGGAAACAATTCAGCAACCAAATGCTATATAATATTTGTTAAATATCTCTTGCTCCTCAACTTAATTTCTCTTGATTGTTGTTATAAACATTGATAATTTGATTGATTAATTTGATTTTCTAGAATGTTCTCTAGAATTTAGGAACCATGTTAAAAACATGCGTAAAATTCATGAGTTATTTTCTTCTATTCAAGTTTTGATGATTGAGGTTTAATGTTATAAAGAAAGTTATATTCTGAACTTTTTTCAGAAATAAAAAGTTACATTCTGAACTTTTTTCGTCATCGAAATAAGAGAATTCCCATCTAATACTTTTTATTAAGTTTCAATTATTACAGAAAGACGCGGATTATAAGTCGTTGCCTAACACAATTCGTTGAGAACATTAATATCGCATAAAATATATTTCGATAAAACGAAATGAAAGAAATTTTTATAGAATGACAACATTTTTTCGTCGGTCATAGAGCAACTGTTTTACTTACCTACGCGAACTACGATGCAAGAAAAGGGAGAATACATTTCGTCAATGAGCTGAAAAACATCAATTTATTCAATGCCAATACAGGCTTCCAGTAGCATTTTAGCAACTGAGTAAACAAAGTTCGTCGATACCGTGTTTGCATGTCGGCGAGGTCAAGCGATGTTATCACGCTGCCCTCGAATACAAGAGTGAATATACACGAGGGTAGAGCCAGACTTCAACAACTAACTCAACGCTATAGTGCCTAACTTAAGTCGCTTTCAAGTAGAGCTGTCATTCTCTTCCAGTATTAAGATTGCTGAAAAAATTTGTCGAAATATATTATTTTCTTTATATTAATAAAATATTATTTTCCAAAGTACTCTGATATTCACACATTTTACTTAGATTACATGTTTTGCGACTGTAGGTTCTCTGCTTTGAATTCTCCAAAAAATTGTTGTTTTGCTATATTAATTTGAAAGAAGCTTAACAAATGAATTGCATCGGATTTGCTCATCAGTTCGAGTCATCATTTTTCGTAGTTGTGTTATCTATGTATATTTTTCCGAATTAGTGAGTATTTATATGAAAATAGCATAAATTTAATTCATGCATTCTATCGTAGACATACGTACATGTCTCAACATGCAAAGGCCATTAATTTTTTTACCTAAGATATCAATACGAACGATGAGATGCCTAGCAGAAATCTTTCTTCCTCGAAATATTGTTTAAATGATTTTCAATCTTGTAGATAAAGAATCATTCTACTCCTGCTTGGGTGCATCAAAATTGCAAAATCTCCGAGAATTTAATATTTATATACGTGACGATACAAGTTTTTTTCTTTTCAGTATTCGGAAACTATTTTAACGTGGCTTTACATCTATGATTCAAAACAATTAATTTGTTTTGAATGATAATCAAAGCAAATGAGATGCAGGTCTTTTTCTTTTCATTTTTCGGAAACTATTTCAACGTGGCTTCAAATCTATCATTCAAAACAATTAATTCAATTTTAATTCAATTAACATTAATTAATTAACATTAATTAATTAATTAATTAACATTAATTACCATTAATTAATTCAATTAACAATTTCAACAGCAGCCATCTCAGTCTCCACCGTGCGTCATGGGTAGCGGGAGCAGCAAAGACTTGCACAGTCGCCTGTTGCAGTCCATCACTGAGCACGCGCAGGACGTCAACTGCCTGGCTGTGTCTGAGGACTTGAGCGTTCTTGTCACGGGGTCTGAGGACTGCACCGCTAGGATGTGGAGTATACGGCCTGCAGAAACTGCCTGCCTCGGCATCATGAAGTGAGATATTTTTATCATAGTTTAATTCTATTTTGAATCTTTACAATCTTCATCAGAATGGTCTAATTAGATAAGAAAAATTCTGACAACTTTGATCGAGCTTGTAAGAAATTTAAGATGTCGAAACTGCCTGCCTCGGCATCATTAAGTGAGATTTTCTTTTTGCTTCGTCAATGCACGATCATTTATTAATGACTATGAAGGTAGCCTAATTTTAACGTCGGATTTTTAGATGTTTTTTGATAAATGGATCTGTGGTAAAGTTACGGTGCGATGACTGCCTTCGGTCGTAAATAGTTTTGTAAAATGGTACTCATAGTTTTGAATCTTTGTAAACTGGATCAAATTGATCTAATTTGATTGTAAATTTTTATTTGTTTCTTGATATTTTAAAGCCGGGGGAAATTTAAAATGAGGTAACTGGCTGTTTCAATGTCATGCAGTGAGCGTTTCTTTTTTGCTTCGATGCGATCGCATTTATGAAAAGCAAACTGATCAAATTTCATTATAATTTTTTATTGGTTTGTAATCAATTTAATCCCTAGGGGTATATACGAGAATGGATAATTCGAATAAATTTATTATTAAAAAGGGTATATTTTCAAACAAACATTCGTGCATATTTTCGCGGCTTTATAGTGCGTTGCAGCCGCAAATTTACGTTTATTTATTGACGGAGAATTTTTCCTAAAAATACGGAGGATTTCTAACCATTTTTGCGGAGTATTCGCACCAATAAATTCCAACATCACTTGATTTGAACGCTTAAATATGAAGTGAAGAATGGGATACACACGAATCAATTAATTTTTTAGCACCATAACTGAAAAATTTATATCAAACTAGATATAAAAGCACGCCTTGTGTAAAGAACATTTTTGATATCCAGGTATTATCGGATAGGGCTGAAATTTAAAACTGAACTATTCAACTATAATATAGCTGAAAATATTTCATTTTCTTTTTAAAATTCGCCAGTCGCCATTTTTACATGAAAGACAAGGTCAGAAAAAAACATAATAATTAAAAAGCTTTTTTAATATTTTCAGAGGCCACACGAAATACATAACGTGCATCACCATCACAGAGACGTTCGTCGTCACAGGGTCTAGCGACAAGACCATCAGGAAGTGGGACATGACCACCTGCGAGTGTGTCTACGTTTACAGGGGTCTGAATTAATCCTGTTGAATTGATTCCAGTTAAATTCTGATGATTCCAGTTAAATTTATTCATTCTAGTTAAATACTATATTGATATTAATATTAACAGTAATGTTTAATTTACAGATGAAAACGTTCTTCAAAATATAAAAGGACCTTGCGATAAACTTCGGTAGAATTTCGAAAAAAACATGCTGAAACGGTAGTAATTATATTAATTAACAGTAAAAAACAAAAGCTTGCCGTAGTAGCTGACTATGGAATAATTCCAGTTACAGTTTTAACATGACAAGCAGTCTTGTGAAAGTTAGTAAGCATTCAAGACTTAAGCTGCCATATTCACTGGAACTAAATTTCTAATTAATTCGTTGATTAAGTCTACAAGGTACATAAAATTTGTAGTGTTGTCTTTCAAAATCTTCAGAATGTATCACTGCGCCCGAAATAACAAACAAATAATGACGACTTTCCGATCAGTCCTGTCGTTAGGAGCACAGACTTTGTAGCCGTCATTATTGCATTGTTAATGGAGGAATAATATATTATTAAAACAATAATTATAATAACACACAATAATGATAATAATAATAATAATAATAACAATAATAATAATAATAATATCGTCTTGCATGGTGCACAGTTTAAGTTGTCATTAACACATAGTTAATAGAGGAATAATATTTCATTCAAACAGGTCACACGTCGCGCATTTATCGACTTATATGCACGGGCGAGTTTATCTTCTCGACGAGCAACGACAAAACCGCGAAGGCTTGGCTGCTCGACGAAAGCGACTTGGTCGAAGATTCTGACGAATGCGATAAAATGGAAATAGCAGAGGAAATGTGCATCAGAACATTCAGGGTGAATTCTGGCTAAATGATTCGCTGCCTGATATGAATAATTCATTTCGTTGATACATCATATAATTATTTTATTTCAAGCTGCTGCTCATTTTTCGCAAATGTTAATTGTTCATTGCAATATTATTGATCTGGAAACGAATTTTAGACAAATTCCTTCAAACAATTTTATACAAATTCGTTCAGAAAAAAACGAATTTTATCCAAATTCGTTCCAAACGAATTTTCCATATAGGTTCCAAGTGAATTTTCAACTCAAACAACGTTACTCCAATCCAGTTCTTACGTTTTAGCGGGAAAAAATTTATCTTACAGTTAGCTTTAGTTTTTGCAGTAGAGTAAATGTAGACAAAATAAAATGTTAAACAAAATAAATTTTCATGACTAGAAATGTAGCAATTGTTTCCAGGGTCACACCTTAGCCGTATACCCGATCATTTACGTGCCAGCTGCAGACGACTGGGGAAAAGACGAAATCACGATCAATCCTTTGGACGTGATCATCACCGGCAGCGCAGACAGCACGGCCAAGATCTGGTCCTTTGAAGAAGGCACTTGCCTCAGGACGCTCACGGTGAGGATGCCGAACTGTCACGTTAGTAATCCAAACTCTTAAGTTAGACAAACTTGCGTTAATTTTTCACACACATTTGATTGTTTATAGAACTGGTTTTCTATTTTGGTGCATTCGACCAGCAACGAATTTCGACCAGCAATGATATTTTCCATTTAGGTATGTAGATTGTCCAGCTATATTGTCATCTGTAAATACTAGCAGGAAAGATAAACATATTATGTGCTCTATTACTACAATGTTCTGCGTAAATTGCTTGCATATTTTCATGTTCTTCAAAAATAAAAGGGAGTACGTTACCTATTCCTAATATAATCAAAAAGCTTGAATATTAATGGATTGAAAAGCAATTCACACGAATTGTAAAAGCTCTCAGATCAAAATGGTAGAATAACCCTTGTAAATTAACTTTGCTGGCAAATAATTATTCCACTATTATTACTTTTCTATTAATTTTAAGCTCAAATATAGAAACTCAAGGCAGCCACAGCAGCAAATTTATGCCAGTTAACCGATAATTGACTATGCAAATTTAATCCATTAGGTTTTATTTCAAAGGTTCTCCTACCGTTCTCCATACCTACGAATTAAGAAGAATAGGATTTCAATTATTATTTGCTAATTTATCCCTCAACGAATACTCTGAGTCTCATCCTAAAGATTTTGAGCAATTGAAGAAAAAACTCCTAATTATTATTCCTAAATGAAGGGTCACTTAGCTGGAATAATGTGCATGGTGACCGACGCGTCCGCAACAACCCTCTACACGGGCAGCGCTGACAAGACCATCCGCTCCTGGAACATCCAGCGCGGCGAGTGTCTCAAGGTACGATACTAGTGTCTCAAGGTACGATACTAGTGTCTCAAGGTACAAGTGTCTCAAGGTACGATACAAGTGTCTCAAGGTACG